ACTTCCCCGTCATGGTAAATGGCAACTCTGTTTATCTAGTTTCTCAGAGCCGACCACGGAGTCATCCTGAGTCCCCTCTCCCTCCCACCCACAGTTTTAACCCTCTGGCACATCTTGTCTGTTGAAAATCAGTGCCGAATCAGACCACTTCCTGCCGCCTCCTCTGCCGCCACCCTGGTCCATCCCACCCTCGCCGGTCACTAATATTGTTGAAGAAACCGTCCCCTGGTCCCCCATCTCTCTCCTCTACGGTTTTCTACGTGGCAGCCTGACAGATCCCGTTAAAACAGAGTCAGACCCTGCCCTTCCTCTCCTCAGCACCCTCCCAGGTTAGGTCTGACATGATCAGGTCCCCATGTTCTCCCAGCTCCTCTCCAAAACGTCTTCTTGTTGCGTATGCATCTCCTCCCTCTTCCTCCACACCTCAGGCAGCCTGGGCCTCTGAGCCATTGCACTTGCTGTTCCCTCTGTTCTTCCCACTCTCCCACTTCCTTCAGGTCTTTAGTCAGTAGTTGCCTTCTCAGAAAGGCCTTTCCCAACATGTGTAATTAAAAATCACACCCTCTTGCCCTAGCCAGTTTGGCTCAGTGGATAGAGCGTCGGCTTACGGACTGAAGGGTCCCGGGTTTGATTCTGGTCAAGGGCACATGCCCCGATGCCCGGGTTGCGGGTTCAGTCCCCAGTGGGGGGCGTGGAGGAGGCAGCCGATCAATGATTCTCTCTCATCGTTAATGTTTCTATTTCTCTCTCCCTCTTCCTTCCTCTCTGAAATCAATAAAAATATTTTTTAAAAACACACAAGAAAATTGGTTTTTTAAAAAAAATCACACCTTCTCTGCCTGGCTGGTGTGGCTCAGTGTCACATGCCTGGTCAGGGCACAAGCCCAGGTTGCAAACTCCATCCCCAGTGTGGGGCCTGCAGGAGACAGCCGATCAGCGATTAACTCTCATCATTGATGTTTCTATCTCTCTTCCTCTTCCTTCCTCTCTGAAATAAATAAAAATATATTTAAAAGTCAAATAAAATCACACCTTCCCTACATATGACACTCCCTACCCCCTGCCCCTGCTTTATATTGCCTTTTGGTGCTTGTAGTATCAACTCTATTGAATGCAGTATTTTACTTATTTCCATTGCTTCTCATCTTTGTCTCCCTAAGGGCAGGAATTCATTGTAGTTTGTAAGCTGTGTTGACTGGTTTGTTTGCACAGCACTCAGGACCATCCCTGGCACAATCTTATTGACTGGCTGATTAAATGGGTCCTGCCCAGTGGAAAGTCCACACACAGATCCTGGTCGATTGAGATGTATACGTGCTTACCTGGAAGCCACCAAAGGGAGTTGGCATACGTGGCAGAAAGTTCAGCAGCACTCGTTGTATCATTTGGGATTGTGTTTGGCTGCCAGTATCAGAAAATGCTACTTCAAAAGTAGAAACAAATGAATGGATTTATTTTTCTTATTAAAATAAGTCTGGCCTGGCCAGTATTTCTCAATACTTAAACGTTGACCCATGAACCAGGAGATCTCAGTTCGATTCCCAGCACATGCCCGGGTTTTGAGCTCACTCCTTAGTGGGGGATGTACAGGAGGCAGCTGATCGATGATGATTCTCTCTCATCATTGAGGTTTCTGTCTCTCTCCCTCTCTCTCTCTCTGAAATCAGTAAAAACATATATTTTATTGTTAAATTCTCACCCAAGGATATTTTTCCATTGATTTTTTATTTTTATTTTTTAGAGAGAGTGGAAGGGAAGGGGAAAGAGATAGAGAAACATCGATGTGAGAAAGACACATCAATTAGTTGCCTCCCGCACACACCCCAACCAGGGCCAGGGTTCGAGCCTGCACTCAAGGTACATGCCCTTGACAGAAATCTAACCCAGGACCCTTCAGTCCATAGGCTGATACTCTATGCATTAAGCCAAACTGGCTAGGGCTAAAATCATATTTATTTTTAAAATATATTCTTACTGATTCCAGAGAGGAAGGGAGAGGGAGAGAGAGAGAGAAACATCAATGATGAGAGAAAATCATTGATCGGCTGCCTCCTGCATGCCCCCCACTGGGTATCAAACCTGCAACCCTGGGCATGTACCCTGACCGGCAATTGAACCGTGACCCCCTGGTTCATAGGTCGATGCTCAACCACTGAGCCATGCCGGCCCGGCAAGAATATCTCTTTTTAAAACAAAGGGCTGCCCTGGCCAGTGTGGCTCAGTTGGTTGGAGCCTTATCCCATACACCCAAAGGTCACGAGTTCAATTCCTGGTCAGGGCACATACTTAGCTTGTGAGTTCCGTCCCCAGTTAGGGTATGTGCGAGACACAACCAATGGATGTTTCTCTCTCTTTTCCTCTCTCTAAAGCTAATAAACATAGCCTCAGGTCAGGATTAAAGAAAACGAAGGGTTGAGTTGAAAGAGAATTCCATAGGAGTGAGAAACAATGAGAAAGCAGATCCACAGGCTGAGCAAGTGCTGCAGGTGGTGTTGGTCCTGGGCTGTTTGGTGGCCTCCAGCCTGGGTTTTAATGGGCTACAGGAGACAAAGCTGAGAGCCTGAGAAGCATGGGAGGTAAGGTTGGAGACCTCTAAAATCTAGGACTCCTCAGTAGGTAAACTAGAACAAAAATTTTTCACACAGGAATTTGGTGGTGACAGTTGTCTGTCTCACCCTGGTTGTGGATGAAAAAAAAAAGGCGGGATGTCCTATCTAAGAATTTCTAGCCAAGAACTTGCATCCTCACCAGTTTGGGGGCCAGCATTCATACGGAACTGTGCAGCCCCAAGAAAACCCACGGGGAAAAGTTAGCGTAAAGTGAGTGATGAGGTGTGGATGCCCCTCCCCAACCGAGGCATGTCTTTTTGTGGAGCACCCTTTAAAGATTGACCTGAGAGAATTCCCACGGGTATGTGAGCTTTCAACCAATCAGAAGATACCAGGAAACAAGCCACAGAATCAGACCTGCGCTGACCAGACACCTTGGAATTAACAGATGAGGCTACGTGCAGAACACTTTTTTATTTTATTTAAATCTTTATTGTTCAGATTATTACATTTGTTCCTCTTTTTCCCCCCATAATTCCCCTCCTCCCAGTTCCCGCCCCCCCCCCCCCCTCCCTCCCCCCCCCCCCTC